TGTTACTCGTGGTAACTCAGGATTCCAACATGAGCACCTGCCACCGCCACTGCCAAATGAGGAGCCTGACTTGGCGGAATTAAGAATGCTTGTAAAAACATTAACAGACAAGGTTCAAGGATACGAACAAGAGTTGACGGAGCTAAAGAGGCAAAAGGTAACTGAAAATGGAGATAGGGCTCATGTTGAGAGTCATGTGGGGGAAGGCAGTTCCTCACATCCTGCCACTCTGAGAGATCATGAGTCTAGAAGGAAGAAATTAGGCAGGAGGAACAGAGAGCCCCACCGACCATTACTGATGTGTGGGAAACTGTTAGGAAGTTTAACCCTCCTACGTTTGATGGTAACCTTAAACCATCCGTGGTAGAGGAATGGGTGAAGAGACTCGAATCCATCTTTCGAGTAGTCACATGCACCAGCAATCAAAAAGTACAAGTAGCATTAGTGCTCCTAGTGAAAGGAGCAAGAGATTGGTGGGAGACAGCAGGGCCCAGGGATGATTCTACACTCACCTGGGAGGAATTCAAGGAAAAAATTATTCAGGCATTACTTTCCATCAGAGTTAAGGTCTGAGAAGGAAGCGGAATTCCATGCCTTTAAGCAAGGGAACCTCGATGAGGACACATTCATTGCTAAGTTTCAGGAGTTATCTAGATACTCCACGTACCTGCAGTATAGGGATGATTCCGAATGGAAGGCTAAGCGCTTATTGGAGAAGGCTAGACCAGAATTGAGGGAACAATTGGCTCATCTAGATATCCGAGATTATGATGAAATGTGCATAAAACTACAAGTAGTAGCTCGCAGTAAGAAGGAGGTTGAGAGAGAGAAGAGGGGTTATTCATATAGTAGACCCCCAACCTACCCTCGACCCACCGGAGGCATTATGAAGAAAAACCATCAGGGTTCGAGTAGCTCATGGAACCAAGGAAGGCAGAAGGGTCCATTTCAAAGGGGCCAAGGACAGAGGAGCTATCATAGTAGTTATTACGGGTCCAACAGTATCTACCCCTGCCCCGAGTACAGCGAGCTCTCAACAGTGCACTAAATGCGGGCGTCGTCATTTCGGACAGTGCTGGATCTGTTACATTTGTGGGAACCCGGTCACATTGCAAAGTTTTGGGGGACAACCAGGGCTCAAATATGAAGAACCCTTCCCAACATCCTACTGTCTCTGGTCGTGTGTTTGCTCTTACTCAGGACACCATGAACTCCCCAGATGCCATTAGAGGTAACATCAAAATCCTTCATCATGATATTGTTGCACTATTTGATTCGGGGTGCTACACACTCTTTTATTTCTGAAACTTGTGTAAAGAACCTTGATTTGCCTGTGTGTATTTTACCGTTTGATATGAATGTGTCTACTCCTGCGGGAGAATCTGTGAGGACCGCTAAGCATGCCTTAACCTAGTAGTCGAGTTTAAAAATAGGAAAACAACTATGGACTTAATTATCCTACCACTGAGAGGTATGGATGTAATTGTGGGAATGAATTGGATGGCTGCAAATGGTGCTATCCTAGATTGTAGAGAGAGGAGTGTGTCTTTATCTTCTTTGTCGGTGACCCCAGTCGAGACTCAAGATCATGTTTTCTTGTCGGCGGCGCAAGTTGATAGATGTATGAAGAAGGGTTGCCAGGCCTACATGGTTTTCTTCTCTATCCAAGCTAAATTGATGAAGGCGTGAAGAATATCCCAATTGTCAAAGAATTTACGGATGTATTTCCAGACGAAGTCTCCGGTTTACCCCCAAAGCGCGAGGTAGAGTTCTCAATTGAATTGGTACCCGGTACAGGGCCAATTTCTAAGGCTCCTTATCGGATGTCCCCTTCAGAGTTAGCGGAACTGAAAAAGCAAATCGAAGAGCTACTTGAGAAGGGTTTCATCAGACCGAGTGTTTCACCTTGGGGATCTCCAGTCCTTTTTGTAAAGAAGAAGGACGGAAGCCTCCGATTGTGCATTGATTATAGACAATTGAACAAAGTAACCATCAAGAACAAATATCCACTTCCGAGAATCGATGATTTGCTGGATCAGCTTGTGGGATCCGCAGTTTTCTCAAAGATTGACTTAAGGTCAGGGTACCACCAATTGAGAGTGAGAGCAGAGGATATACCTAAGACAGCATTTCGGACGAGATATGGGCATTATGAATTCATGGTGATGCCGTTTGGACTTACGAATGCTCCTGCGGTATTCATGGATTACATGAATAGGATCTTTCGACCCTATTTAGATAAGTTTGTAGTAGTGTTTATTGATGACATTCTTATTTATTCAAAGGATGAGGAGGCTCATGGTGAACATTTAAGAATCGTCTTGCAAGTTTTGAGGGAACATAAGCTTTATGCCAAATTAAGCAAGTGTGAATTTTGGCTCCAAGAAGTAAAGTTTTTGGGCCATGTTGTGTCCAGAGATGGAGTTGCGGTGGATCCTAGTAAGATTGATGCAGTGATGAAGTGGGAACAGCCAAAATCTGTTACAGAGATACGAAGCTTTTTAGGTCTAGCAGGTTATTATCGTCGCTTTATTAAGGGATTTTCGCAAATTGCGATGCCCTTAACTAAGCTAACTAAGAAGGATGCCCCATTTATTTGGACTGACAAATGTGAAGCTGCTTTCCAAGAATTGAAAAAGAGGTTAACCACTACTCCAGTATTGACTATTCCTGACCCTGTGGTGCCGTACACTCTGTACACTGATGCTTCTTTAAAGGGTTTAGGATGTGTTTTGATGCAAAATGACCGAGTGGTTGCCTATTCCTCCAGACAGTTGAGACCACACGAGGAAAATTACCTTACTCATGATTTGGAGTTAGCTGCAGTTGTGTTTGCTCTAAAGATATGGAGACACTACTTGTATGGATCTAAGTTTCAAATCTTCAGTGACCATAAGAGCCTGAAGTATTTATTTGATCAAAAAGAGCTTAATATGAGGCAGCGACGATGGATGGAATTTCTAAAGGATTATGACTTTGAATTACATTACCATCCGGGTAAGGCTAACGTGGTAGCTGATGCCTTAAGTAGAAAGACTATTCATGCTGCACATTTGATGGTTCATGAATATCATTTATGGAACAGTTTTCATGATGTTCCAGTAGATGTGATTGAACATCAAATGGCCGCACTCCAGGTAGCAGACTTTGAGAGCAAATTCTGGGAAGATCTCAGAGTCTCACAGCAAAGTGATGACTACTTAAGGAATATAAGGAAGGAGATAGTGGTAGGTAAGGCCCCAAATTTTACCATCTCTGAGGACACAGTGATGAAGTATAAAGGTAGAGTTTGTGTACCTAATGATCCAAGATTGAGGAATATCCTTTTAGAAGAAGCTCATAGGAGCAAATATACAATTCATCCCGGTATAACTAAAATGTACCATGATTTGAAGCGAGGTTGGTGGTGGCCAGGAATGAAGAAAGATGTAACTGAATTTGTTTCTAGATGTTTAACGTGTCAGAAGATAAAGATAGAACATCAGAAGCCAGCTGGAACACTGCAACCGTTAGATATTCCAAAGTGGAAATGGGATGATATTTCTATGGATTTCATCACTGGACTGCCAAGAACACCCTCGAGTAAGGATGCTATTTGGGTGATAGTAGACCGACTCACCAAATCAGCTCACTTTTTGGCGATCAAGTTTACCTCTACATTAGAGAAATTTGCTGAGATATACATTAAGGAGATAGTTAGACTTCATGGTATACCCTCTAGAATTGTGTCAGATCGTGACCCAAGGTTCACTTCAAACTTTTGGGGTGCGCTACAGAAGGCTATGGGTACCAGACTGAGTTTTAGCACCGCATACCACCCCCAAACAGATGGACAAACAGAGAGGACGATCCAGACTTTGGAGGACATGTTGAGAGCTTGTGCCATTGAACTACCAGGTAGTTGGGATAATCATTTGCCATTAGCTGAATTTGCTTATAATAACAGCTATCATTCTAGTATTGGGATGGCGCCTTATGAGGCCTTGTATGGAAGGAAGTGTAGATCGCCTTTATGTTGGACAGAATTAAGTGAGAGGAGTATCATTGGTCCAGAAATTGTAGAGCAAACCACCCAGAAGATTGCAATGATTAAGCAAAAATTGCTAACCGCTCAGAGCCGACAGAAGAGCTATGCTGATAAGAGGAGACGGCCGTTAGAGTTTGAAGTAGGAGATCATGTATTTTTGAAGGTTTCTCCAGTGACAGGCATTGGTAGATCCATTAAGGCAAAGAAATTGACACCTAGATTTATGGGCCCGTATGAGATCTTGGAGCGAATTGGATCTACTGCATATAGAGTTGCATTACCTCCACAGATTGCAGGTATCCATAATGTGTTCCACGTATCACAGTTGAAGAAGTACAACCCGGATCCCTCCCATGTTATTGAACCTGAAGAAGTAGAATTGAGGGAGAATTTGACCTTTAGATCCGAACCGGAGCGAATTGAGGACTTTAAGGACAAACAACTACGCAATAAGACCATCCGACTCGTGAAGGTGATTTGGAAGGGTGGAGCCCTAGGTGATGCTACTTGGGAGACCGAGGAGAGTATGAGGCGAGATTATCCACATTTATTTGCTTAGGTACATAGTTTCTAAGCTTATCTATTAAATTTTGAGGACAAAATTTCTAAAAGGAGGGGAGAATTGTAACATCCTGATTTTTATATAATAAAGAAATTGTGGAATTTAGGTTTTGAGGAAAAAAATGATAATAATAGGAATTTATATTATTTGAGGTTATTTAGAAATAATATTATGATTAGGTATTTAATTATGAATTTAAAAATTTAAATTTAAAATCACATAAGCAATATTTAGTTAAGATATAATACATAAATAATTTTTTTATGTGTGTGTTAAAAAAAAAAGAGAAGGTAGAAGGAACAAAAAAAAGGGGGGGTGGAAGGTTGTTGTTTCTAAGTCCCACATTGGTTAGATGAGGGAAGAGAAGAGGTGCCTTCATGTATAAAAAGGAGGGGGTGTGTGCATTAGGAAGCATGAGAGGCTAAGATGCAATTTAGAGAAAATTGCAACTTTGGGCCCAAAGGTTTGAATAATTAAATTCAAACCTATAGTTTTTTTTTAATATAATTTTGGGACTCACAATCCCATTTTTATATTATTTTTCTCTCTTCCTCTCACGTTGCTCGGCGTTTTCTCGCAAGGGGGGATTATTTTCTTTTTTCTTCAGGTATGTTCTAACTTTCCTGTTTAGATTAGCATTTAAAAATTTATTTAATTACAAAATTAATTTTATAGTTATTTTCTAAATAATATTAGCTTTCTAGTGATATGATTATTTTGTAGGATAGAGTAAATATTTTGATTAGGATTTTTCTATAGGATAGTTAATCTGATGATATGATGGATTAAAAATATAGGTTAAAATTCTTAGGGATATAGTAAATATTATAGAATATTTTCTTAAGGTTGAAACTCATGTTTAAGAATTTTTGAGTTAAAATCTAGATCTATATGGTTGAATTTATGTGGAATATGAGATGTAGGGATAAATCTATGATTATTAAATATTTATTTAAGTATGAATAGGTATTTTTGAGGTTATAGAAAGGTGATTTGAGGCTTCAGGATAATTCTAAAATTTTTAATTTATTTTTAGATGAATTTTTAGAATGTAGAAGGATGAAATTGCGATACTAGAAGTGAATTGAGGATAAAAAAAAAAAATAGTTCATTAGGGTACGAGAATTTTAGAAAAGAATTTGGGAAGTTAAATAAGGCATAAATCTTAAATTAGTGTTAATATGGACTATAGATTTAAGACTTTCTAACTCTTTAAATTAGAGTTATTTATTTTAATGTAAAATTAATATATAGTATTGTGAAATAATTATGTAGATTATATTGACAAAGATAGTGGTGAAAAAGGAGTTGTGAAGGGGAACTTGTTATTCAAGACACAAGGTAACCATTATTAATGTGTTGTGATGAGTGTGTTTGTGAATGGTTATGTGTTGTTTTGTTGTTTGGAAAAATTATGAATTATTGAAAATAAATACTGTATATACTTGTTTGAAATTATTGCCAAGTGGGTTAAAAATTTATTTTTGTTTATCATGATGAGATATTATTGTTCGGATATATTCCTGTTTGGATATTTGAATGATGCATGACTTGTCAGGGTATTTTAATGTATGGTGTTAATGGGAATTTCTGTTCGGTTAATTATTACCACGTGGTAAGCCCTCATTGGACCCAATGAGTGGCGTGTCGCTTGGTCCAACTCACCTTTGGCCGGGTGATTTGGCGTCCGAGCATGGTGAAAGGAGGATATAAGGTGCAGTCATGCAATTAAATACTTGTTCGGTTTGTTTGAAAATATTGTTCGGTTAAATGTTGTGTGCCCACTTAGCAATCGCATGATTAGTTACATCCGCATGCATCATTACATATTAATTTTTGGTTACTGAGACTTTTAAGTCTCATTCCCCGTGGTTAATATTTTTACAGGAGCGAATCCGGCCGAGAAAGCACCAGAGGTGTAATTATGGTGTATGAGACACCATCTTTTACGTTGCCTCTTATTTTGGATTATACAATGTATCTTGTGCCAACTTAGGACATATCTTGTCTATGGAGCATGTAAACTCTAATCCTTTTTATTAAATGCATTTATATGTCCAAGAGGATTATGTCTGTCCCTTTTGATTCATGACCTAATTTAAATAACATGCTATGAGGATCATGTCTGTCCCTCATGGTTCTAATTACTTTTTGAGATATTTTAAGACCTGTGGTATATTGTCTTGGATGTATCATGGTAGAAATTTTTCTACCATGATAAGGGTATGATAAGGGTTCAATGAAAAAAAAAATGATTTCTTGAATTAATAACTTGCGAAAAATCGGTTTGTAAATTTGAGGGTGTTACAATTCTCAGTATAGCATTTAGGTAAATATTTTTCACGGTGTAGCATTTCGATAATTTTTTTTACTGTTTGCAATTTGTTGGTAAAAAAGCCTCTTCCAAGGCAAGAGATAAAGTTTCATTTTCTATAAAATTTATATTTCTTTCATTTTAAATTAAAAAATATTTTTAAATAAAATTTCACATATCAATAAATCTCATTAAATATATTTAACAATCTTATCTTTTTAAAATAAAAATATAAAATTTTTAAAATACTCATCATTTAATACATTGAAAAGAATAGGGATGTAAATTAATTATAAAAAAAGAATTAATAATATTAAAATTAGTGTATTTAATAAAACCTTAATTTATCCAAAGTGTTTTATATTTTAGGATGAAGAAATTTTTTTAAAAGTGTCCTAAAATTTAGGACGGAAGGAGTATTATATAATTAATTTTAATATTTTATATTAATAATTTATTTTTGCATATATCACTAACAGTTTTCATTTTTCCTTTCGTCCCCAAGCGCCGTCACGAAAACACATTTGGTCCTCATTGCTAATGTGGGAAGATCTGAGTCATTTATTTCTCTTCAAATGATCCCTGCCATTGATTTAAAATTATTTTTAAAGTATTTTAATATTATATTTATAAAAAAGATATAAATATTATAATATTAAATATAAACTGTTTTTTATGTTATTAGAGGATAAATATTATAATATTTATCACCCTTGATAAGGTCTAGATTGCCTCAATTTAAACTTTTTACTTTTATTTTATATTTATTAAAATAAAAAATATGTAAAAAATATAAAAGTCTTTAATAAATTTTTTTATCACTAATTTGGTAAGTACAAATTTAATCTGAATAACCCAATTTAATATTATTTTTTCATAATTTTTACAAATTGATTATCCATACATACTCTGGATAGTATAGACATAATTTAAAAAGTTTAATTTAATATTAAAAATTTTATAATTTTAATTAATTGATTATCTAAATAAATTCTGAATAGTTCATATTTAATATTATTTTTTTATAATTTTTATTTTAATAACTTTAATATAAACATATTTTTAAAAATAATTTTAAGTTAACGGCAGATATCATTTTAGAAAAAAAATGAAGGGCCTAGATCATTGCATGGAGATGATGAGCACGGTGCTTAGCAGCATTGATGAGCACCAAATGCGATCCCGCGTAGTCACTAGTCACAGTCTGGCCAAAAATAGCACTCACTGTCACCCCCTCCACTCTCGTCCCCGATGCAAGCTCTCAAGCTTTCCCCGGTCTCTGCTTCGAGTTCTAGCCTTCCGACGAAGACTCTCAATTCTGCGCCCGCATTCTTCAATAGCAACTTCTTGTGCCCCATCTCCTTCAATGTCCAACCCCTAAAACCCAAATCTAAGCCCTGCTCAACCTCCCTCGTAAAAGCAGTGCTCCAATGGAACAGAAAACCCCAGTTGGCCGGCGAAACTCCTCGCGTCGTCGTCATCACTTCCGGCAAAGGTGGCGTCGGCAAGACCACCACTACCGCCAATATCGGACTTTCACTTGCCCGTCTCGACTTTTCTGTCGTTGCTATTGACGCTGATGTTGGGCTTCGGAACCTCGATCTCCTTCTCGGCCTCGAGAATCGAGTTAACTACACTGTTGTTGAAGTCCTCAACGGCGATTGCAGGCTTGACCAAGCTCTCGTGAGAGATAAGCGATGGTCAAATTTTGAATTGCTCTGTATATCCAAACCCAGGTCTAAACTGCCGATTGGGTTTGGTGGAAAAGCCTTGGTTTGGCTCGTGGATGCCTTGAAGTCGAGGCAGGAAGGTTCACCAGATTTCATTATAATTGACTGTCCTGCAGGGATTGATGCGGGGTTCATAACTGCCATAACCCCAGCCAATGAGGCAGTTCTGGTTACCACACCAGATATTACAAGCTTGAGAGATGCTGATAGAGTCACGGGATTGCTCGAATGTGATGGAATTAGGGATATAAAGATGATTGTGAATCGGGTTCGGACGGATATGATCAAAGGGGAGGATATGATGTCCGTGCTTGATGTTCAAGAAATGCTAGGATTGCCTCTTCTGGGGGTGATTCCTGAGGATGCCGAGGTGATTCGGAGTACAAATAGAGGGTACCCGCTAGTACTGAATAAACCCCCAACTTTGGCCGGTTTGGCCTTTGAGCAGGCGGCATGGAGGCTTGTAGAGCAGGATAGTATGCAGGCAGTGATGGTTGAGGAGGAGCCAAAGCGTGGGTTTTTCTCCTTTTTAGGCTGGGGTTAGAATCTGGTTTGAGAATTGCAAGCTTTGAGATAGATTGGTTTGTCATGATATTTTGGCGTTTCAGGTTTTGTGGTAAAGCAAGTGTTTTTTTAGCGGCGATTATTTGTTTTAGATGTAGGTAGAAGGAGGAAGCTACGTACAGCGGGGCTAGTAAAGCTTAACTTTCTTCATTTTCTTCACCAAGCATTTCTTCAGTTTACTGGTAAATTTATAGTATCATTGTCAGGATTAGTGTCTGAAACTCATTTGCAGGCGTTTAGATTCTTTTTGTTGCCATTCTAACAAGTTATTGGTGGTTCACTGATAAATTTCTACCTGATCGGTGAATCTAGTTTAGTTCTCCTCTACTATGTTTGGCATGTTGCATTATTGATCCTCTGCTGGCACGAGTAATTTCCTTCTATTTAGGAATAAAGCTACGACTCTTTATCTGATTATAGGCTTTAAAAGTTTTCTCCTTCCCGAGGAAACTGCATAAATGACGCGCTCTTCAGTTCTTCATTTGGCCCTTCCTGTGGAAACTGCATTCTTAGCACAGAAGTAAAGATGATTGTCATATATATATTTTCAGCGCAAGGATAAAAAGAAAATTATTTCAGCGGTTTAAGTGGACAAATTACAAGCAACATGATAAAGTTCCATTTATTGTGGAAGGTTGTGAAAGTGTTTCAGCTGCAACTTCATTGTTCTAAATGAAGAGAAAAGGGAAAAAAAAAAAAACTGTTTACCATCAACTGTGGGGTTAGTGAAGCTTATCTTTACTCTCTAGCTTTTCGTTGAGATCAACTCAAACCGTATTGCGGTCTTTAGTGCCATTGTAGCATGTGATGTTAGGTTCAACGTTGATTCTTTACCAAGCCTGTGAAACCTTTTTTTCTTCCTTTTTTGTTTAGTTCTGCAATGTTTGTTACTTGTAGCTCAATTGTCAGATTTATAGTAATATTCCATATTTTATTGAGTGAAGTGTATAAAATTTTACACTGGTTTCAGTGGTTTCTAACCCATCTGTTATTATTGTAAAGGTGATGAACCTCCTTTTGGACGGTTAAAAGGATATACAAGATATATTGCAAGGATACAGGTTTGAGTAGACTACTAGTTTTGGTACTTCATTGTTTATAAAGAACATATAGGGTTCTATCAAGAGAGAGAGAGAGAGAGAGAAACAGAAGTTAAAGGGTATGTGCCATAAGTTTGGTTTACATAATATTAGAAATGAAAGGTATAAATGAAAGATGATTTGAATGGAAGTGACTCATTATCTATTACGAAGAAGTGACACACACTGTTGACTCAGAATAACAAGGAAATACTCCCTCCAGTCATAACAATCATAAACGTAGGAGCTTGTTGAAGAGTTTGTTTTGATCCTACATGTAAGACCTCAATCTTCTCTGTTTCCTATCTTTTTTTTTCCCCTCTCCAAACTACTTCTGTGGTAAGATTCTTGTATGATGTAAGCTATGCTGATAATACGTCCATGTAAATGATTAAAAGGATGAGTATTTTAGGATAACCACTCACATTTTTTTTTTTAACAAATAACCAACATACCTAGTTTCCTCAATCTATGTGAATTAGTTAACTAGCTCTTGTATTTAGAATTGAAGAGAGTAATATACATCACATTAAAAAAAAGTAGTTTCATTTTCTGTGCTTTGTGTCATGGGCTGAGAGTCTGGCGCAGCATACGGCGCCCGTGCGGCGTCCTGAAGGACACCCACAATCCTCAGGACAAGCCTTACCACATACGGATCACACTGGTTTCGCCCTGCCATGGGCTCATCAGGGAGGCGGCACTAGCCCCGGCCAGTTGTGCACACAGTCCGAAGACTGAGGCAGAACACCCCCAATGCTAATGTCGCCCCCTTTACCCATATTGTGCGAGGCTAACCAGCGGATCGTTCTTTACATTGGTCTTTACACGGTCACGGAAATATCATCCGTGACATTCTCCCACACCTAATCTAGCACGCCCTCGTGCTAGGGGAGAACGACTCCGCCCAAGGATCGTACGTACAGTACTGCCACAAACACATCAGCTTACTGCTGAGTGGCCACCTGAGTCCCGCACTCTTCGGACCCACTTGCACCCACGAGCCAACAGGAGTGGAGTCGACAATGGCCAACCTTCCCGCCCGAGTCCCCACTTTTGGACCCACTTGCTCGGAGGCCTTTCTGGAGCGGTGTCGAGGCCGACTAGTCCCAATGTGGGACCCCACAGGCACACGGCAGTAAAGTACGTCCTGCTCTGATACCACTCTGTCACGAGCTGAGAGTCTGGCGCAGCACACAGCGCCCGTGCGGCGTCCTGGAGGACAACCACAATCCTCAGGACAAGCCTTACCACATACGGATCACACTGGTTTCGCCCTGCCATGGGCTCATCAGGGAGGCGGCACTAGCCCCGACCAGTTGTGCACACAGTCCGAAGATTGAGGCAGAATACCCCCAATGCTAATGTCGCCCCCTTTACTCATATTGTGCGAGGCTAACAAGCGGATCGTTCTTTACATTGGTCTTTACACGGTCACGGAAATATCATCCGTGACATTTGGCTGTCTTCTCCCTTTTCCATTTCCAATCAAACATTGGCTGAAATTATTTTGACACCCTTGCGGCCAACTAGATTATCTAGGATTACCTAGAAATGAGTTTATACTGCCTTAGATGGTTGTGCCTAAATCATGTGTCTATTTATATATT